GGATGCGAGTCCTATTAAACAGTGGCATTGGCCAGTTTCACCAGCAGTTGAAAAGCTGATGTTTGCTAAAGTAGATTACATGCTTGCCTTAGATGAAGAATCAACTAGCGCCTGGAGTAGTAATTGTGTCTTAGTAAAGAAGGGAGATAAAAACAGCTTGTGTCTTGACTCGAGAGAAGTAATAAAGTTACAAAGCGAGACGCATATCCACTACCTCATATAGATGGCATATTAAGTCGTTTACCTCCAGCTAAATTCATAAGTGGTCTTGACATGAAGCATTCATATTGGCAGATACCGCTTGATATGAATTCTAGACAATATACTTCGTTTACAATTCCAAATAGACCGCTATATCAATACAAATTATGCCTTTTGGTCTTTGCAGTGCAGCTCAAACTCCTTGCCGTCTGATGGATTGAGTTATACCGGCCCATCTAAGGACCAAAGTTTTCGTTTATTTGGACGATTTATTAGTTTCGTCCGAAGACTTCGAGTCACATATGTTTTTACTTCAATAGATAGCCTTATGCTTGCGTAAAGCTAATCTCACTATCAACGTCGGCAAATCAAAATTTTGCTTTATAGTTGGAAAAGGACATATGAAACCCAGATAATGTTAAAGCGGTAGCAGAATTTCCACAGCCATCTTCGGTTAAGCAATTGCGACGATTCCTAGGCCTAGAAGGATGGTATAGACGATTCTTAGAAAACTTTGCTACTCTTAGTTTTCTTTGACGGACCTCCTTAAAAAGAAGGTTTCGCTTTGATGGGATGACAAGGCATGACCGCATTTGAAACCTTAAAATCATGCCTTACTAGTTCACCTATTCTTATAACCCCTGATTTTTCCAATCAATTTATTTTGTTGTGCGACGCCAGCTCTTTTGGAATTGGTTGCGTACTGGCTCAGGAGAGGGACGGAGTAGAACTTCCAGTTTCATATATGTCCGAAAAGTTGACCAAGGTGCAACGTAATTATTCCGTATCTGAACTAGAATGTCTTGCCGTAATAAAAGGAATTACGAAATTCCGTGCATATATCGAGGGTCAGAATTTCTTAGTCAGCTCTGCAGTGGTTGATACGACTGAAGGACTTATCAGGAAGGTTAGCTCGATGGTCAATGAAGTTAAGAACATTTAAGTTCATTATAAGCATCGCAGCGGCTCGCAGAACGTCGTAGCAGACGCTTTATCGCGACAGAACGAACCGAATTTTGCCAAAGTGGTCCAATAGTTGTCTTAGATTCTCCACATTTCAAAACCGCGGAATACTTAGACTTGATAGCGAAAGTATCTAAAAACCAGTCTGAATTTTCCGATCTATAAGTCAGGGACGGATACTATAAGAGGACTACATTTGCATCGAGAGATATAAATGGAGAAAATCCATGGAAACTTTGGATACCTTCAGCTTTAGTTCCCGACATTTTGTACCAAGCTCATGATTCTCCAAGTTCAGCTCATGGTGGCATGAGTAAAGCTGTAGAAAATCTGAAAAGATATTTGTTTTGGCCATGTATGGTGATGCACATACGCAACTATATATCTTATTGTGTCATTTGTCGTACCACGTACCCAAACACGACTCTAAAACCTCCAATGGGTAAACCTTTGACCTCAGAGAGACCATTTCAAAAGCTATATATTGACCTATTAGGGCCATATCCTCGAACAAAGAAAGAAAATATAGGATTACTTATCGTAGTCGATCATAATTCCCGCTTCCCTTCTTGTGTCCACTTAGAAAGTTTATAGCTTTTAAAATCTGCGACTATTTGAGGGGCCTATATTTTATACATTCGGCGTACCAGGAGTTATACTTTCTGATAACGGTAGTCAATTTAAGTCAAGCTATTTTCAAGCTTTTCTAACCAGTTTCCGAGTACAACAAAAACTTACAGCAATCTAGTATCCACAGGCTAACGCTAGTAAAAGGCTTAATAGATCAGTATTAGCCGCGATTAGAGCTTATATAGGAAATGATCACACCAATTAGGATGACAATTTAAACCCTATAAGCGGCCCTCTAAGAGCATCTTTGCATCGTAGCACACGTTCATCTCCTACCATTTGGTCAACATATGATTCTAAACGGCAAGGATTACAGCCTCTTGCGCTCTTTGAATTTATTAACTGACGACACTCGGCTACAAAATCCAGATATATTACAATTGCAGAGACGGCATGATAAATTAAATATAATCAGATCATATGAAGAAAACGCTAATAGATACAATTTGAGTACTCGGCAATTAGAATTGAAAAAAATTGGCGACTTAGTTTACGCCAGAAATTTTACGCAAAGTAAAGTAAGGCTTATCCAGCAGAGCTTTAAGCAATGCGGATCTTTTCAACCCACCCAAATTATAAGAGCTTTTAGGCTATGTCAAGGTGTGTAAATGAACTATGTGTCGAGGAGTGTGTGGGTTCGCCCTTGTTAAGAATCACATAATTGCTGTTAATAATTAAAGTATCGAGAGTTTGTCCTCGTCTATTGTTTTGGGGTGATCCCCACAACGTATTCCAGCTGTTGAAATCCCCTGTTCCCAGAGAAGGAATGTAATTGGTTGGTAGTATTGTTTCTAGTTCTGTTTGTGTAAAATTCTGATTTGGGAGTATGTATGCTTCGGATATTCTGAATTTTATTTTTGTTTGGACTTCGAGGGCAATAAAGTTGGTAGTATTGTTTCTAGTTCTGTTTGTGTAAAATTCTGATTTGGGAGTATGTATGCTTCGGATATTCTGAATTTTATTTTTGTTTGGACTTCGAGGGCAATAAAGTCGAAAATGGTTTTTGTGGGGATATGTTTGTATTACAATGATTGAGTATTAATAGTGCGACACCACCTTTTGCTGGGATGGATGTTGTGTGAAATTTTTCGTAGGGGTAGGAAATTTTTGGGTAAGTGTTATATAGGTTTCTTGGAGGAACATGATTTTAGGTTTGTGTTGCTTTATAAGGAGAAGGAGTTAGTTGTAATTATTTATATAGCAGTTCAAATTCAATTGTAGAATTGTGAGCGTCCCCAGTTTTTCTGGGTTAATTTAGGGTTATTTATATAGCCGTTCAAATTCAATTGTAGTATTGCAAGAGTCATAGTTTTTCTGGGTTAATTCAGGGACTGGTATCGTTTTTCCTATCTTTTCTGTGTTTACTAAATACTTAATTTTAGATCTAGTTGGCATTGGATTTTCGTTATTATTTTTAAATCATCTTTTCTCTCTTTTTGACAAATTTTTTGGATACATTTTGGTTTTAAGGGTAGACATAGCCGTATTATTGTGCTCCGTGCTGAGAGAACTTCTAGACATAGCATCGTCATCTTCTTATTGTAAGGGTGTTCGCTTGCATTTTTTATTGGTTGTTGTGAGTTTGATGTTGTAGGGGGGTTGGGGGATATTGGGCCTTTTTCTGTTGTGTTGTTTGGCTATGGGTGGACTTGGCCCCTGTCGAATATAGTGAGCCACTTTGTTGATTTTTGTATATATGGGCAAGGCTGGACTGTTGTCTTATTTTTGCAGTGTTTTTATGGCTTGAATTTCTTGGTACGTTATGAAATCTGGGCATTTTCTGTCCCTTGAGATGTGATCTGCGTTGGGGTAGTTTTTTTCACGGTACTTGAAGCAGCTCGGGTTTTCTTCGCATACTTCTCCAATATCTAGGTTGATTTGGGATGTGCGGCTGCACTTGAGGCATGTTGATGGGCTTTTGCAATGCTTGGCCGTGTGCCCAATGCGCAAGCAATTGAAGCAGCGCGGGGGGATGTGTGGTCGTACTTTTACTCTCTTGTATCCAAGGTTTACGTTTTCTGGGAGATTAAGCAGCGAGTAGGTAAGGATAATTAGACCAGTTTCGGTCGTATTACCCAAGGAGAACTTCATAATTTTCTTAACCTCTGTGACCTTTTGTTCTTTTGGGTTCTCAAAAACTTCCGCTTCTTCAATAACTATCAACTCATTGCAGTGTATGAAACCTTTGCACGCATAAAATTTGTGTTCGGTGTCTTTATTGGGAATGTTGCTGGGTATTGTGTTAAGTTTGAGAAGTTTGTCAGTTTGGATTTGGTTTATTGTTGCGTTCTATTAATTGACACTGGTAAATTCAGTTCATGTTGTTCGGGGCTATAGTACTTGGGAGAATTCAAGAAAGACACAACCGTACTGCAGAACTGCAGAAATATTATATATGGGCTATTTTTCAGAAAGGTTCACCGCGGCCAAAAATTAAAAGTTCTTAAAAACGAGTATTTTTAACATGGTTACATAAAAATTGGTCTGATTGATAAAGATAAAAAAATATTTAATTTTTTAAAATAAATTTCGAAATAATCGATGTCAAAAACGCAATTTATGTTATTTAAATAAAAAAAGTCATAAAAAGGCATAATTTGTTTTGATGCCAATCTCTTAAACAAAAGCACTTTATAAAAGGAATTCCATGCACTAAAGTTAAAGTAGGTGAAATGAAAATTAGATTGATCGATCCAAGTAAAACTGTTCAGAGAAGGCCATACCGATTAAGTCCATGCGAGCGAGATTTAGTTCGAGGGAAAATTGAGGAGCTTTTGAGGTGTAATATAATAAGGCCAAGCTGTTCACCTTATGCAAGCCCTATACTGTTAGTTAAAAAAAAAAAAAAAATGGTTCAGACAGACTCTGCGTTGACAATAGAGAGCAGATACAGAGCAATTCAAACACAGTGGCTGATAAATATCCGCTGCCACCTTTACAGGATCAAATAAATAGACTTCGAGGAGTTAATTATTTTACGTGTCTAGATATGGCCAGTGGATACTACCAAATTCCTATGGATGCTGATTCTATAGAGTGCACAGCATTTGTGACGCCAGAATTTGTGAATTTGTGCCATTCAGGCTTAGAAATGCGCCTTCCGTTTTTTAACGATTAGTAATCCAGGCGCTAGGAGATTTAGCGAATTCTTATGTTATCGTCTATATGGATGATATTATGATAACTGCCACAACATTAGAGGAAGCTTTTGAAAGATTGGAGATTGTTTTAAATGTTCTGACAGAGGCTGGATTTTCGTTTAATATTACAAAGTGTTCCTTCCTGAAAACATCGGTGCAATATTTAGGCTTAAGTGTCAGTGCTGGTCCAGTGCAGTCCAAACCCTCAGAAAATTGTAGCGTTAACAGCCCTTGTTCCTCCACAATCTGTAACATCACTTAGACGATTTATTGAATTAGCATCGTATTTCCGGCAGTTTATTAGGGGTTTTCGCAGTTAATGAAACCGTTATATTTCTTAACTTCTGAGAAAAATAAATTTAATTGGAAAGCAGAACATGAGCAGATACGGAAGAAGGTTATTTCTATACTTACTGATGAGCCAGCTCTTGTTATTTTTGACCCAAATTATCCAATTGAACTGCATACAGATGCAAATTGCAGTGGCTACGATGCATTTTTATTACACAGAATTAATAACAAACCCCAGGAAATAGAATATTTTAGCAAAACAACTTCACCTGCAGAGTCAAGATATCACTCGTATGAGTTAGAAACCTTAGCGGTCGTAAACTCCATTAAACATTTTCGACATTATTTGTTGGACAGGAACTTTACAGTTTTTACCGACTGTAACTCATTGAAGGCGTCAAGAAATAAGCAAGATTTGACTCCTAGAACACAGCAATGGTGGGCCTTTTTGCAGTCATTTACATTTGTTATCAATATAGAGAAGGGAAAAGAATGGCACATGTTGACTTTTTGTCGAGAAACCCTATCGCACCAGGGTCCTTTGCTGTAAAGTAGTTGAAGAGAAGAGAGTTAACTTGGCTGAAATTTCAAGTAATTAGCTAATTGCTAAACAACGTCGAGACTCAGATATAGCCGAAATAGTAAACAAATTAAAAGACTTTTCTTTTGCTGAAGATATTGCGAAAACTTATGAACTAAGGGCAGAAATTCTCCACCGAAAAATTCAGAGAAATGGCAGAACTCGTTGTTTACCAATTTTGTTCTGATCAGAAAATAAATTAGCATTTGATTGCCACCGGTGCTAGTCGAGCTAATGGCCAAGTGGAACGAACAATGAGCACGTTGAAAAATATGTTAACGGCGGCTGAAACGGGTATACACTCTTGGCAGGATGTGCTAGGAGAGGTGCAGTTAGCAATTAATTGTACAACTTACCGAGTGACGAAGGCAAGTCCTCTAGAAATGTTATTGGGAAAAGTATCAAGGCCGTTAGGATTACTTCCACCTTGTGACATAGAAAACGAAGTTGACCTGTCAAACGTGAGAGCGCAAGCTGAAAAGAATGTTGTATCTACAGCAGTGAATGATAAAGAACGGTTTGATAAAAGTAAGGCGAAAGTACGTAGACACAATGTTGTAGATTTTGTTTTACTAAAAAACGAGGAAAGGCATCAAACCAAGTTGAGTCAAAAATTCAAGGGGCCTTTCCAAATAACAGAGTATTAGAGGGTGACAGGTACGTTTTAAAGTCAATAATCAGTAAACGAACTTATAAGAATGCGCATGAAGATTTAAGAAAGTTACCAGAAGGGGAAGTACCCGAAGAGCTGAATGTGTTTGATGACTATAATAATGAAAATAATGAGAATATTGAGAATGTTGAAAATGTTGAAGTTATTGACGAAAGAGAAGTGCCCAAATAAGGGTGGCAAAGATATGTTGTACTGCTGGCCAAAGGAAATGGCAGAGTAATTGGATGGTGTAATGTAAGCACAAAAATGAAATGTTTGAAAAGAGAATGTAAAGAGACAGTATCGTGGCCTGAGTGGATGATAATGAGATAATGTAATATTAATGTAAGCACAAGTGGAAAATAAGCTGATGTTTGTTTTGATCATGGCGTGTGGTGCATTAGATATTTGGAATATTGAATTGAGTTAAAGAATTGGATTAAAGAAAAAAAGAAGAAGTCTGTATGTGTGAACATGAAACATAATTTTTGAAAACCTGAAGTATTAAAGAAACCCAAACAGAATGGTAATGTTTATGCTAAAGTTTGTTTTAAGAAAGTTTGATACTATTTTGATAAGTTGACATTAGTTAAGAGAAGTAAATAGGATTACTAGAAATATTTGTTTAAGTTAATAAATAAAAAAAAAAAATAAATAAATGAATGAAAAGGGGGCAAAAGAGAAACGTTCAGTTACTTATACACGAGGTCGTGTTAGAGTCAGTATGGCCGTGTTGGCGAATGGATATACCATTCGTATACCAGAGTATGCAGAATGCTAGTTCCTGGAAAGTTTGTCTTACGCGGAAGTTTGGCATTCTTGGTTCTCTTCTTTGATTGGTCCTCTTCGTTCGTTGTGGCGCGACACAGCTGCGCTGTCAGTTCCCTTTTTCATAGGAATCGTTATAGCGGGGCGGCAGCGTCGCGTCGCTGTCGCCGTGTGTGGTTCGAAGGCAGAACGATCGGACAGTCTTCAGCGATCGTCAGCCAGGAAAGTCGAAACTCACTCCGCTCGAAAATGGAACGCGACCACGAACCGACATATACTTTATATGGTCGGAGGTGCCTCCTTCAATGCGTTGCAAACTTCTGACTGAAATTATAATACCCTGCAAGGGTATAAAAATAACTACTTAACATTTTAAAGTCAACCCAAATACATTATTAAAATTTATTGTATTACAATTTTTTATTACTCTTCGCTGAAATCGAGCTTAAACTGTTTTCTTGGAAATGCAAGTTTTGTTTTTGTCGCTTGTGAATGCAGTACATTTTAGTGAATATCTTAAAACGACACTTCGCATTTTACTCTCCATCCAAATTTGATAGACTTGTTTTAATGATAGTTAGGCTAAGATTCTTCGGTGCAACTCCGAATTATTCTCCTTGTCGTTAAAAATTTGACCATTCACTACGAAAATATAAACAAAGATGGCAAGGAACGCGTGAAAATTGAAAAACGTCAATGTTCAAAGGACGCTACAGAAACGCTTGGGAGTTTTCCGGTATATTCTAGCGCCAAATTGTCTTGAATTGCTACCATTTTTTATATAAAATCCTATTTTGGGGGCAATTTCTCGTCATCTTATTTTAATTTAGCGCCAAAATATATTCCCGGTATCTACATGTTTTCAGAAAATGTTGGTTGGTTCAGCAGAAGCCACTTTAACCAGCTTGGTTTATATTTTGAATGAGTCACCGCATCGATTAGTAATTGCAGGTTCATATTTAGGAAAAATCTTAACTGTGTCACACGGATGGATTCTGTTTGAAGACAGTATTATTCATACTAGGTCGAAATATTTAAGCAACGGTTTGACTGAGATTCGAGACCCTAAGTGACTTAACAAATTTATTCAATTGTCACCAAGGGCTTTTTAATTTAATTAACTATGATAACATATTTAGGGGATTCCCTATACGACTAAATCGTTACGTTTAGAAAAACATGATCACCAATCAGTGATCAAGTGTATTCTGCTCAACGTTTATGATACATTACGCCGTCCTAAAAATAATCGGCAAAAATAAAAACTAAAGTTATTGTCCAACTTCCCCCCAACAATTAAATGATTTTGTGTATAAGAAAAAAACTCAGAACATTCTAAAACATTCCTTAAAGTGTCCAAGCAATAGGTTTTGATCAGACACCTAATAAAATAATTTGATACTTAATGTGGCCCCTTAAGAAACAGGTGTTTAAGATTTATTTCTGCATTGCCTCAATCACAACATTGTATTTGTGGCTAAAGAAAACGAAACAATAAACAAAGAAATTAAAATAAATAAATAAATAAATGATATCTGATTATTATAGAAAAAAAAAGGATTTATCCTTATCGATATTTTAACCATCCATATATTGGGTTGGCAAGAAAGTCATTTCGTTTTTTTTTAGTAATCGTTTTTAATATAATTTATTTACGACTAATCGAGCACCAGGGTCACACTTTTTAGTATCTTTTTAAAGCTTATAGTCTTAGGTACTATCGACGAAATTTGGTAATTATTCGATAACATTTGTGGAAACTATAGCAAATTAAACATGGAGGACCAAAGTTAGCATTTTCGGCATATTTATAAAAAGCGGTCAAAGCTCGCGAAAAATTGTGCGAAGTGTATGGTAAAGACGCCATTAGTGATCGCCAATATCAGCGCTGGTTTGCTAAATTCATGCTTAGAGATTTTGGAGTTAAAGACGCCCCACGTTCTGGTCGACCATCGGCCATCATCTTTTAAAATATTGAAAAAAAACGACATGACTTTCTTGCCAACCCAATAATTCATTAGTATCGCGAAAAAGTAGCATACTATTTTGAAGATATTTTTTTTTACTGATTATGATGGATGAAATCTTGTATCATGATCAGTGATCATACTCGTTCTGTCATAACTGTGAGCACCATGGGCAGTGCGACTATACTCTTTAAGTGAGGGCGGCTGGAAGCAGGTCCCCAGTCGAGGTTCGACCGGGGATGCTGTCTAATTGTAGTGGGGCGGGCAAGTCTTTAAACAGCCTCCCCTCAACTCAGGCAGCTTCCCAGGACCAGGCAACCCTAGGTCGTAAGTTGCCTTGCCGCAACTTGATTAAGACTCAATCTTCCTTAAAGCCACTCGACAAGGAGGTGGATAAGCTCACGAAATTCCAGAACAACACCTTCCGAAAGACAAGTTAGATATCATTCTCAAAGAAGCAGTACCCACCGTGGTAGACAAAAGAACTGAGCGATCTCAGAAGAAGAGCGCAAAAGTATTTCAACGAAAGCTAAGTAACCCTGGAATGGGAAAGGCCAAGAAAGATTCCTGGCAAAGCTACTGCGAGTTAGTTGAAGACATAAAGGACACGGCGAGATTAAGCAAGATGCTCGACAAAGGGCGCGCAAGTGCCCTCCCTTATCAACAGAGCAGACGGTACTGCTATAACGACAATAAAAGGGGAGGGGGGGGGGGGTACATCATTACCATGGAAAGAATCCAGTCGGCAATATATTCTTTTGTTAAATTAAAAAGCCCGGACTCTGACGGCATAATACTGGCACTACAATAATCAGCCAAGGAAATCATCTGTAGATGGCTAAAAGCCATTTACAAAGCTTGTATAAGACCGGCGCACATCTTGCTCTTGTGGAGGGAAGTGAAAGTCATCTTCATACCAAAACGAGTCAGAAGGGGCACATCGTAGCAAAGGAATACATTCCGATAAGCCCCACCTCCTTGGCCCTGAAGACACTAGAGACATCGACTATCGGATGCGCAGCACGCGTACCGAAAGGGCAAGTCAACAGAAACAGCACTTGTACATCATATCGAGAAGACACAACAACACAAGCAATACACGACGGATGCCTTCCTAGAAATCGAACGCGATTTCAATAACGCGAATCCCGATTCCATCCTGTGCTCCTTTAACTTGCTAGGTGTTGAGAGAGGCATCAGAGACTGAATCGTGGTTATGCTAAAGATCAGGACGATCACAGCCGAACTGAGTGGCACTTACCTCACGCGGACTGTGAAGAGTGGCACACCCCAGGATGGGGTTCTATCGCCCCTACTCTGACTTATAAATATGAACGCCATATTGGTAAACCTATGTAAATATGGGTGGCATCAAAGCAGTGGCATACGCAGACGATGTGGTGCTGCTAGTATCAGGACCCAATCCTGAAGTGAAATAATGACAGGTGCGCTGAGTCACTTAAACATAAGGGCAAAACTTGCGGACTAAGAATCATCCCCACTAAAACAGAACTGATGCTCGTCACAAGAAGTACCAAGATACCAGTTTTTAACATGCCCAGCGTACATGGCATGGAGTTAAAACTAGCGGAGTAGGCCAAATTTCAAGGAGTGATACTAGAAAAAAGCAAAAAAAAAGGGTTAGAAAAGCAAGCATTGATTTCAACTCCTGCAGGAAAATGTTTGGAGACAAATGGAAACTACACCCAAAGATTTTTGTATGGTCCTACACAGCAGTGGTATGACCAATACTAACAAACGGGGTCCTAGTATGTGGCCGACACTAACTAGGGCATACAACAGATTGAAGCTGACACGGATACAACGAGTAGCGAGGGCGGGCCGTGGGAGTAATGTGCTCACGGCCCGCGGCTGCCCTTGCTATCCTGAATATTTTGCCGATAGAACTGTTCGTAAAGGACCTTGCAGCGAAGAGCACAGTTAGATTTAAGGCAAGCAATTGCTAGAAGGAATACGGCTTGGCAAGATACTTGAAAGCATCAGAATAAAGACAAACGAAAAAGCGGACTACATGACCGCGGAGTTAAACTTCTCGAACGCATTCTCGACCTCGACAAAGTGGCAGTAGAGAACGAAGTGTTCCTCTACACCGATGGCTTCAAGATAAGCTGTGGCGTAGGGGCTGAGGATCTACGTTGTAGCAATCAATCTTCGGAAGCAGCCGAACCCTCCATACGCCGAGAGCTCAGAGACACCAAAGTAC